ATAACATAAAGTACATAAGAACATATATATATATATATATATATATATATATATATATATATATATATACAAGTATAGATATAGATATAATGTGTAATGTGAGAACATGTGCGCAATTTCATTTTGTATTACTGCGCCTTTTTTTTTTTAAATTGTAAGATAATGATGATGTACATCTATACATATGTACTTGTACGTACTAATGTATAAGATTGTGCATTAACTCTGCATATTTATATAGATGTTTATATCTTACATCCATCTATTCGTTCGAATACGTAAAGAGTTAAAAAAAAAGTTATTTTTAGAATATTTTTCTTTTTTACTTTTAATTTTTTTTATTTATTTATTTATTTATTTATTTTTTTTGTTTTTGCTTAAGTAAGTTTCTGTGGAAATGTTAATTTTTGTGCATTAAAAATCGAGGTTATACTAAATTTCTTATACTATTTGTTGTTAATCCGTTTCATATATACACGTATTGAAGATATTTTCATAGCCAGCTTAACTTAAGCTAAGTCTGCAGGCAGTAACATCCATATTGGACTACTGCAAAATCTTGACAACTCGTAAGATTAGCTATTATAAGTTTAATAGGATCGCAAGGCTTCGATGACAACGATTGATCGAAAAGTGTCGTTGGTATTAAATAAATAAGCGAACAACACCGAGATAACAGTATAACAGTGTATATCTAGATACTCTAGATACTCCAGAGATCTTAAAAAAATATACACTTGACGACTATCAAATTTTGAATTGATCTAAGCATGTTCGTTTGTCCGCCTGTCCACTTCATAAATATCTATGACAAAATATAAAATTTGGCAAAAAGATAGGACGTTCCTGCGGGCCGCTGGTTATTGAAAATGGATCAAACCGATCAAAAGATATGCTTAGATATGCTTGTCGATTCTCTAGTTCTTACTCGTAAATTGCAACGGACTCACGGTAAATATTTTTACATTTACACCCATCCAATATATAGTATTGAAGTCTAGTATAGGTTTTCCCATTTTTTTTTTTAGTATTTTTTTTTAAAGGTAAAGGCATTGATTAAAAAAGTTTTGGTCGCAGCTGAATATAACTTCCGTGCAGTTGTTTTAATTTTCTCTTTCTTAGTTTAAAAGTGAAAAAAAATTAATATATATAAATAACATGTCTACACATACATGCATATATCACATTATAATGTATAATATATAATATAAATAATATACCGTATAACGCATCGGTCAACAAGTTCGTAGGATGAAATATAGATGTCGCCACCATTGATCAATCCATACGATTGTGAGATGGCAGCGATCTTCAAACGAAATATATTAAAATTTCACGACATTCCGGCCATTGCTTTACAAGTTGCAAGTTACAAGTCCTTTTAGTGATGCTACTTGTCCAATTTTCGAAACAATCGTAAAAATATGAATTTCGTAAGTAAATGTTGTTTTTTGATGGGAAAAAATGCTTTCAAAATGAACATTGACTCGAGTCAATTATTGCAACATCATGGCAGCTGTTGACTGTCGAAAAAATAAATTTATAGATGGTTTGCTTAGTTTAAACGAAGCCATATGGATATGCATGCTGTTGGACGGGTTGGTCGCCCAAATTCGATACTTGTTTGAGGAAAACATACAAAGAGTGCATAAAACCGTGTTTGGAAAACCGAAAAATGAGGTTAACGATGCCAGAAGTCAGTGTATTTATTACTTTGCATAAACATTTGCCCATGAGAAATATCTCTCGAAATATCTCGAAGTGGGTACTGCGTTTGCTCACCTTTGACTACGAAGTGTTGATGGATGATTGAGAGCGTTGTTTGCCGCTGTTTAGGTGAAATTAAACGGATTTTTTATGCGGTCTATAACAATAGATGAAACGTGGATTCATCATTCCGCGCAAGAGCCAGACCGGTGGAAGCCGTGACAAAAAAGAAAAAAAAAGGAGGGAAAAAATCGCTACACTAAACTTGGCAGCTAATGGTCGGAATATGATGCAATTTTTCCACACTTCATTTGAAGGTTGGCATCATCTAAAAAGCATATGGTTTCGTCAATGGTGGCGACATTTACGAGTGTATCTTACTTGTCGAACTTATTGAATGACGTGTATGTAATATTTTTTCCTTTTAATGTTCGGCCGTTGATCTGTTTACGAATTCGTTGAGATTTTCTTTTTATTATATTTCTAAATTTGCTTTCGAATTTCTGGATGCACTTTTCTATTGATTTCACTCAGACTGGAGCTTTAATTGAGCATTGCTATCGAACATAACCTCAACATTAATGCAACAATTGGATCGAAAAATTTTGTCGAAAGCTTTGGATGATAATGAAACTTCAGCAATAGATTCTCTATATAGGAGATGGAAAAAATAATTATGAACACTATACAACATAGTGCTATCTTGTTGAATGTTGGCAACACTGCTTCCGTGTAAATAATGCGACGCGTATGTGCCGCAAAGCTTACACGGTAAATATCCTAGACTGTCTGGCAGAGTATTATACGCTTTACTCTGCAACGGTTAAAGCATGGGATCGGTGAAATTCAGACTTCGAAAGAGGGCGAATTGTTGATGCTCGGTTCGCGGAAACGTCTGTAACGAACTCAGCTGAAAAGTTTAATAATTCGTCAGCGACAGTATCCACGATAATATCACACTACACCCAACATGGAAAAATATCATCGGCAAGTAGAAACCCATAGTTAAATGGTCGAGCCTGACGAAAATCAAAAATGATTGCGGCCAGATAACATAAAGGTACCATGTCAAAAGTGACAGTGGATCTCAACTTGGGTAATATCATTCCGACGAAAATAGTACCGCAGGAGCTTCACAAAGGTAACACTCGCGGAAGGGCTGCAATATCGAAACCCTTTTATAACGGAAGCGAACACTAAGCGTGATAAAGAAGTGATACTACGACCATTAAACCTAGATGATTGGATCGGCTTGCTGATTGGAAGAATGTGGTACGATCCTATGAAGCATCGTTCACCTTGTTTCCTACTAACGGCCGGGCTTATGTGTACGGAGAAGCACAAAATAAACCTACGATCCGCATTGGCGGATTATTGCGAATGAATATCTCGACATCGTCAATGATGAATTTTTTATTATGTCAAAGATCGCCATATTGCAAGAGGATAGTGCGTCCAGACACACAGTGAAGGGGATTCAGTCTTGATTTGAGGACTATCAAAATATCAGTAAACATGTTCCCTGGCCAGCACAATCGCCAGATCTCAACATAATTGAAGCGTTATAGCGTGCTTTAAAGCGGAGAGAGAGGAGTGGGTTACCATCTCCCATATCACTTAAGTAATTGGCGGAGCTTTTGATACAAGAATCGGACAACAATCCGCTGCAAATTACTCAGAGACGCTATGAATTGCAGTTGTTCTACAAGCGATTGATGGGCCAACACCTTATTAATAAATAAATATTGCATATATGTCAGGTGTTCATAATATTTTATTCAATCCCTACAGATATATTTAGCTCATGAACAGTTCCTGTTTTAGGAGTAAATGTTGGAGGAAGAACAGTACCTTTAAAGCGAATCATTTTGTTCTATTTCTCAAAGTCTCTAAGGAATTTTCGCACACTTTGCCGTGGAGATAGGATTGATAGGAATATCTGGTAAATAGCTTAACCTAAATTACTCACTTACTTGTTTGTTTAATGAGGAAACTCTTGATCAACTCATTTAGGTTTTCGGAAACATGCAAAAGATTCCATTATGTTATCTTAATGTAATGACGATGATATCAACAAGCGTATCACGTAATGTATGGAGGCATTTGAAAGTCAACTTTCTACTTAAAGGAAAGTAAAAGCTAACAAATGAACGAATGAGTGCACAGGAAGTAGGGGCTGAAACGAATATCGGACACAATAGTGGTAGCATGTGGTAACAGGTGTTTACGAATTAAAGTGTATAAAGCGTGTAAAATATAAAAACAAAAAGAAGGAAGAAAGGGTTAGTTAAAATTAAAAGAAAGCTATCAGAAAGGTAAGCATGAAAGGAAAAACATTGTAAGGATAAATGGGTGAGATGTAGCAACAAATTTGGAGAGAAAAGAAAAAAAGAAGAGAGAGCTTTTTTTTGTAAAATTACACTATTAAAAAGAGAGAGAGAGAGAGAAACCGGAGAGAACCTGACCTAGAGTGGAAGATGTGATACGGAGAGGAAGACAGAAAAACGGAAACTTTACATTAAAAAATGAAGTTAAAAGAGAGATTAAAGCTAAAGCCAATGACTGTTAAGTTTATCCATATTCACGCCGAGTTAAAAGCAATGAGACCTTGTGCGGTTAGGTATGGAAAAATGAAGCAAAAGTGGATAAGTATTTTGTAAGGAGGGAGAGAGTTAACCTTTTGCCTTTAGCCTTAAAAGAGCAATTACACCAACGCATTTACCCGCATGTCGTATAATAATATGTGAAACGTTTTACCGTATAGCGAAGAAGAAAACAAGAAAATAAATAAATAAATAATTGTTTGACGATGACGCGGAGTAAAGGGTGTAAACAACGAGTAAACGTTAAAATTATCATTGAAAGCTTTCCTAAGGAAGACTTTTCCTATTTTGAAGTTATACACACGGAAAATAGCAACCATTCAGTTTTCTCTACTACAATAAAAAAAAGAAGACTCGGAAGTCGAATTCATTTAAAAAGAGAAAAATTTTATTGAAAAAATTCTTGAAAAATTCCCAAAGAGAAAATTAATTAAAAAAGAAAAATATTTAACAAAAAGTAATAAAAGCAAAAATCGCATCGAAATTATTTTGAAAATCAGTTTAAAAAAAAAATTAAAATTAAAGTCAAAAACGAAAATAAGTTAACAAAAATATTTCTTGCAAAGCATTAAATAAAACACTTTATGCGTAACAAACTGTAGCCTGCTAAAGATATCGTATTAAAAATATAGAAAAAATTTATTTTGTTTTTTTTTTGCGTTTTTTTTTTTTTTTTTTTGTTCTTCATCTTAACAAATACGGTGAAAAGTTAAAGGATAAGTTTCTAAAGCAAATTGTTTCCCATTGAAGTTTTTGATCGAAGAAGGAGAAAAAAAATTCGAAAAATATTATTTAAACTGTTGAATATATATATATATATATAATAACGAAGGCATAGTATTGATGGTGTTTTGCTCTCGTAAGGAGTAAAATCAATTTTCTGTGTATAGTTCCGAAAAGTGAGGAAATAAAATTAAAGAAAAATTTTATTTTAAAATATTTCAGTTATTTTGCTTATATAAATATATATAACAATTACTTAAAAAATATGAAGCCTTCAGAAATGTTGCTGATATTTCAAAAGGTAACATATTTTGCCTTTTTTTATTTATTTTTTATATATTTTTTTATTTTTATTTTTTTTATATTTTTTTTTATTAAAGTTTAGCTTCGCATATTAATTAAGCAAGTCCTTGATATATCTGCTGTCCCTTTCGCTCGGCAAACAAATTCCCTTCCCAGTGATAATCATTTCTATTTTTTTTTTTTTTTTTTTTTCTATCAACACCAGAAGCATGTGTATTCGTTGTAAATGGAATGGAACGTTTTGACGGTCGTCGTTTGTTGTCTCGGTTAAATGGCTTATAAGAATTTGACATCCAAACACTCGTACGTTAAGAAGGCAAAAGGTCGAAAGGAATTGTGTTTAGAGTGATGGGGAGACAAAAAATAATATGTTTGTTTGTATATCTTTTAACTTACAAAAAATGCACACACAACCGGCGCTTTTGTATAAAATAAGTGTATTCAAGTTGTGCTACACCGTATTGAACATAAACTCTTCACATGTTTTGAAATCAAGGTAAACGAGATGTTTTATTTCACGTCACATGGACATACATATGTATATGAAAAAATCCTAAAGTACATGTATTTTCCTATGTGCATTTGTCAGTCCGTCTGTCTTACGTTGAATTGAAACTGCTTACAGTTTTTACAATTTCGCTTCAACAAGAGGACGAGAAAGAGATAGATAGATGGATAGATAGATAGATAGATAGATAGATAGAGAGAGAGAGAGAGAGAGAGAATTCAAAATTTTGAAAAAGTTAAATTATTATAATTGATCAGAGCCTATACCTATACTATTTCGCTTAAGACAATTTTTCATCTTTTGATGTGAGGCCATCAAAATGGTGAGTCGACTTTGTCCAAATTTAGTAAAATTAATTTTCTTCTCCTATCAAAGAGCCTCCTACTCTATTACTATTACTATCTACTTTCGTTAAAAAAAAAAATAGCAACAATTATATGTAGCAACAATATATTGTTGTTGTGGATCAACTCTCATTATAAGATACTAAAAATTATACTTGCTTGTCATATGAACGCTTTTTTTTTTAAGAAAATAATCGCATTCGATCCAAATGCTGTTTCATTTCATAAGTCATCCGATAATTGTATAATATGTGGCCTTCAAAATGCAGCATAAGCGTACACATTCAACTCTTTTTCTTGCACGATAAATGCGTTCCTTAGAAATACCTGCGAAAAAATCGTGTAAAAAAATACAATATATAACATATAGTAAATTTGGCGATACGTTCCACAACTCTAAGAAATCGTGTAAGATGACAATGGGAATAAGAAACATTTTTTTGGAATTTTTGAATTAAATCAGCAGTAAAATTAGAATGAAAGAAAAAAATTTGCTTTGAGATTCGTGTGAGAACCATATTATTTCAAAACCGTGTAAAAAGGGATGGTTGTATTTCTGCTTTCAAATGGAACGGTTTAGAGCCCTGCATATATTAACGATCTTTCAATACGTTCACGCGTGAATCGGCTCTTAAAGCCAATCATTTTTCATTGAATTTTTTATAAACCCGAAGATTTTTAATTATCGTACTTGCCGAAGTATTGGTTAACAAATTTTTTAGGTTTTCTGTGTATTTACACTAGAAAAAGAGCACATACTCTCATTGTCGCTTTCTCTCTTTGCCCCTTTCTCTTATATGCATTCTATAGCATTCACGTCATTCACGAAGAATGAAAGATATCTTCGCAAGTCCATCAAAACAACAATAAATGTTTGCTTAAAAGGTAATACTCTCTTTTCAAGTTCCTTACAGAAGGGATCAAGTGAAACTGGTTGGATTTTACGACAAATTGCTGAAATATCACAATCATCGTTTACTCGCGATAGTATTGCTATATCGGTTTACGCAAATGTAATATGAAATGTAAAATGATAATCTCATTAGTTGAGAAAACTTTGATTTGGAGCACGATAGATCGCTTCGATCAGTATTTGGGCTAAAAAATGATAAGAAAAAGGGGATTGATTGAAACTGTGCGGAGTGTGTGTGCGGAATACCAGGACTCGAAAATAATTTTTAGTTTACTTAATATGTCCACGTGCACACGAAATGCTTTTATTATTTCAAAAAGTTAAAAGTCTCAAGTTTGAGACTCATATATATATATATATATATATATATATATATGAGGTATATACATGTAAATCCATGCGGGTTTTCGCCTACACGAAAAAAAAAGTGCACTTTCGTTTCGTATATCGCGTTCACCTCCGGCGAATTAAGTTGAGAACGCAAAGAATAGAGCTGGACTTATGCAAAAGCTCCAAAAAAACGCGTTGCTATGTACACATCATTAGGACAATTAATACGATTGTCTAAGGCTTACTTTCGCATGGACAAGTCAAAGTTTGACTTTGAGGGCTGATCGATCAAATATCGTTTTATCGTAGAAAACGCGATAAGGAATCAATTCTATTATACATCTAATGAATTTCTTTACTCTTTGAGCATATATATGTATCACTAATCATGTATGAATGCGTTTCAAGGTCTATTTTCCTCGCGGATGACAAAATTATCATAGTTTATTTGCATGAGTACTCGCGTAAGCAAAGAATGGCGACTAACAACTTAGCGGTTATGGATTCAAATCCCAAGCGAGGGCGAGGTCATATCTAAGTTGGCCGCCAACCTATATACAAATCCATACCGTTTTTAGAATTTATTTACAAAGTATATTAGCCCCAAATAGATAAATTATTATAATTATTGTGGTTGTGTACTTTCGTCTATTCTCTCTACTCTCTCCCCCTCATACATTCTTCGTATTCATAAGAGTGTTAGAAGAGAAAAGCATTTGCATTAAAGCGCCTGCAACGCCTTCAGAGCAGAGCATGTTTACATAAGTGTAACGCATTAGCATTTAAATAAGCAAAAAAGCACCGCAGGTCCACACTCTTGAGTACACTAAAGGGAAGTAGTAAGTAAGATAAGGCATTCATTCATTCATTCATATCTGCATTATGATAATAACAGTAACGATTTGCATGCCTTTCTTAAGGAGGATAACATCCTCTTTTTTTCTTAATACGCCACTACGCTACACTGCATACATTATTTTATATGAATTTTTTTTTTTTTTTTACGACTTTTTCATGATATTTGTTACAGGATTGAAAATTATATGTACGCGTATTTGACTTCATTTGAGCATTAAGGAGAATCTTTAGTTATCCTATGGCAAACAGCAAAACAAGAAAGGAATGACATTTAGTTTAGCGTAAATCTTTTGATCCTCAGCAATCGTTTTTTTTTTTTTGTATTTTTTTTGTCCCTAAAGAAGAATGCAAATCGGAACTAAAGAAAACGTGCTTTTTTCCATTCCGCATTACATGACGCTATACATAATACAGGGGAGTTTAAATGATAGCTGAGTAGCTCTCAGTTACATATACGCGGAAGGGGGATAGCCGGCTGATGATGCAACACAACATTTATATGAAAAGTATATTATTATCATAATAATAGTACACGAACATACAATCAATCATTCCAACATATCCGAAAACTAACATTGTTATCGTGATACGAGTAATGATATTAGCATAAGCGTAATTTGATTAATGAGAAAACGTTTACACACGTTTACGAATTTCGCTAATGAAGGATTAATCTACGATTTGCATCTTGCATCTGATCTCTGATCTGACGGCAACAAGCAGAAGAAGAAGAAGACGTTATTTAAATATTTCAAAACTGTATTTATTGCTCTATAGGCGAAGCTTTAAATGATTTTAATGATTTTTGGAAAGAGTACCAGATATCCGAATACGGATTAAATACATTTTCTTGCTCAAGTTGATTAAAAATGTCCCATACATTTTCGAAAAACGAGCAAATCTTTGGTAAAATTTGGTATTGCATTTAATTGCCATTATTGCCATTGGAAGAAGTAATACGTAGTAATAAGAGAATCCCGCAAATACAGGATTTTCTTCAAAGACAAAGATCGCTATAGGATCTGATATCCGCCTGAGTAGCCGACTAGTCTAAGAATTTCGATAGTCATGGGTTCAAATGTCACGTGCGATAAAGTGTTCAATAAAGCCGATAGACGACCCGCGAAAAAAAAATTTGATCATAGGTATATTACATATTGATTTTATAAATATGTACATATATATATATATATATATGCTACTGGCGACTGGCTAAAAAGGGAAACTTGTTTGCCTATGCCTATGCCTATATATATCACAGAATAAGAAATGCTCGAGATGATAATATATATGGTGGGTTACATACTCAACTTTCAAAATAACTAGAAAACATTAAATTGATAATGATTTAATCTGACGTTTATCGCAGGATATGATCATGTTCTAATTATGAGAGATTTCGTATTTTTATTAGGCTTTGTCAAGTATTGCGAATTTTTTAGTAGAAATCCGTTCGGAAAAATTTTTTCTGAGTGTGTCAATTTAACTTTAAATCGTAAAATTAAGTGGAACTGGAATGTAGACAATTGGCAACAATATGCGTTTAAGGGTTGACATCTATATATATATTATATGAATATAGCCAGTTTTAATTAAATGATTTTGCTCAGCACTATCATTTATTATTAGACACTAGCTGCTATCGGTTTAGAAGGTGAAATTGCCGGTCTTTTACCAAAAGTCTTGAATTTCTCAGCATTTGCGAAGATTCATCAAAATATATAATGAGGTTTTACGATACGTGCACCGATGTTCACGATAAGAAGCCCGACTATCGAATCAGTATTCGCGGGTGCAACTCGCAAGTATGGCAGAGAGTTTACTTTGTAGCTCTCTTTCCAGCTAAAGTAAGTGCTCAGTCGGTGAAGATGTAGCACCTATCGATTGGGCGCACATTTACTAGATTGCGGCCATCGCATTCGCTTGCTATCCCTTTCGTCACGTCTTGCTGCCCGACATCGTGTTTGTGAATAGGGGACTGGTCATATTAAAAAAAAAAAAACAGATATCGAATGATATTGTATATATATATATATATATATATA